CGCAACCCGTCCGTGACCTCATGCCATGCGCGGGCAACAAGCCGTCTGATCACTGCTGACTGGCAAGTGTGATTAGGATGCCAGCCACTCATAGGCCTGCGTATAAATATTTATATGTATGTACATATATACTTGTATGCATACGTCAGTTAACCATATGTACATGTATACGTATTCGGAATATGTGATGACTCATACTCAGCATGGTTGTGGTTTTGTTTGAATTTCAGTACGGCTACCTATTTGAGGCAGCTCTTTTGGCTGCAGATAACACAAGAATAGCATGCGCCACACTGAAGCTGGTCGCTCAATAGAGGAGGAAACGTTTATCTGCGATTGTAATGTGACATTTATTTTGAGGGTTTGTGATCGGCCCAGACGCGGATTCTTGTGGTGATACTTTTGATTTTCGGAAAGAACGGGTTTGAAATTGTATAACTGATAATTTGTTTCTCTTCCTCATTCTATGTTCGGTGTCTCTTGCTCCGTAACCCCTTTTGTCCACTTCGTGATCTATCGGGGCGTAGAAACAATCATTTTGTATTTCTCACTTTGTGGATTTAAAAATCCGTTTTTTAACAGACCCGGTGTTTTTCTTCTTCTTCGTTTGTGGAGTTGAAAATGCGGATTTGAGTGTACCACATATCTGGTCACATTTCAAAACAGCTAACAAGTTCCGTTTCTCGTAGAGGAAGCTAGAAACACGATTGCGTTGGCGCAAAACATGTGGCAAAGACGGTTCTTTTTTAGATGGAACCTGTAAACGGAGTTGCAGGATCAGGCTTCTCTGCCCATATGCTTGGTCATGGAAAGAAACAAGATATGATATCGAACGACACACAAATGCTGAGTGAGCAGAACCTACTCTTCGAGTGCTATTCATATTGGATATTCAATTGCAGTATAAACAACTGGCATAGACACTTTGTGTACCTATCACCGTAGCATTTCCAACGATCGGAATAGGTGAATACGTGTTGATTTTTCTATCATTCTACAATCAACTCCTTGAAACAGACGAAACGCGAACGAATAAAATTTCAGACACACCTGAATTAATTGCCACGAGCATTATAGTTAGTCACCGTCCACTCACTTAACGTTCCAAAATACATTCAGCACACCTAACTTCTCAACTCCTTAAATGCCCGACCGTTTATTTAGTTATATATTCATCTATCTATCTATCTATCTATCTATCTATCTATCTATCTATCTATCTATCTATCTATCTATCTATCTATCTATCTATCTATCTATCTATCTATCTATCTATCTATCTATCTATCTATCTATCTATCTATCTATCTATCTATCTATCTATCTATCTATCTATCTATCTATCTATCTATCTATCTATCTATCTATCTATCTATCTATCTATCTATCTATCTATCTATCTATCTATCTATCTATCTATCTATCTATCTATCTATCTATCTATCTATCTATCTATCTATCTATCTATCTATCTATCCATCCATCCATCCATCTATCTATCTATCCATCTAACTATCTATCCATCTACCTGTCTATCTGCCTGCCTGCCTGCCGGTCTGTCTGTCTGACTGTCTGTCTGTCTCTCTGTCTCTCTGTCCGTCTGTCTCTCTGTATGTCTGTCTCTCTGTCTGTCTGTCTGCCCGCCTGCCTGTCTGTCTGTCTGTCTGTCTGTCTGTCTGTCTGTCTGTCTGTCTGTCTGTCTGTCTGTCTGTCTGTCTGTCTGTCTGTCTGTCTGTCTGTCTGTCTGTCTGTCTGTCTGTCTGTCTGTCTGTCTGTCTGTCTGTCTGTCTGTCTGTCTGTCTGTCTGTCTGTCTGTCTGTCTGTCTGTCTGTCTGTCTGTCTGTCTGTCTGTCTGTCTGTCTGTCTGTCTGTCTGTCTCTCTGTCTGTCCATTTTCATATTGTGTGTCAGGCTGTCGGTCACCAGATTTGCTCACCCCTGAGGAACTTTACCCACTCTATGTTGCCACAAGGAATTTGGTCAGTAATCGCAAATGATATCTTACTCATTCAAATGAATCTCACTCCAAGATGTCTCATAAAGGAACGTAAACGGTGAACATACATTGTTGGGTGTATTCTTACTGCTTCCTTTTGCTCAGCAAAAAACTCACCTGGGAGTCGGAGAGGGCTGCCTTAAACCATTTCGGCGGTCGAACAACCTAAATCTTCTTTCACTGCAGATCGGATCCCCAAACGTACGAGCGGCGATGATCTGTCGAATTTTGAGGATTACCGTGAGCAATGAATGCTGTCTTCAGTTGCCGATAGAAACGCTCAACTAAACCGTTGGCACACGGACGGTAAGTGGTAGTGTGGATGCGCGTCGCGCCAAGAAGACGGCTAAGGTCTCGAAAGAACGAAGACTGGAACTGTGGGCCGCGGTCCGTAGTGACTGTTGTTGGTACTCCGTAATGGGCAATCCTTGACTCGAGAAAAGCTTGAACCACGGTTTCGGAGTGTATGTCTTTGATCGGCACGGCGATAGGCCAACGTGTAAAACGATCAATGCATGTGGAAGCATACGAAAAATTGTGTGACGGAGGCCACGGGCCAACAAGGTCTATGGGAACATGGCTGAACCGACTATCAGGACTGGGAAAATGACCGAGAGGAGTGACAGTATGTCGATGGACTTTGCTGTTTTAACACGCAATACATTCACGAACCCACCCAGTGATGTCCTCATTAATATTAGGCCACATGAACCTATCGCTGAAAAGCTTCCGAGTAGCTCGGATACCTGGATGCGACAAATTATGTAACTGATTTAAAATCACCCAACGGAGCGACGCAGGTATAAATGGTCTGGGAGAACCTGTAGAGACGTCGCAAGTGACATTTTCGGTTGAAATGGATATAGGAAGTTGTTGTAACTTTAGCGACGAAAAAGAAGACTGCACAAGTTCAGTATCACTCTTTTGATGTACAGCCAGCTCAGATAAGGGAAACCCCGTAAAGCCCAAAGAATCAATCTGCATACGTGAAAGTGCATCAGCAACTACATTTGATTCACCTTCAATATAACGGATTTCAGTCGTAAATTGAGATATATATGTCAGCTGCCGGCTTTCTCGCGGAAAATACTGATAGGAATTACTTTGGAGAGCAAACATCAATGGTTTATGGTTCGTCAAAACTGAGAAATATCGACCCTCTAAAAGATGTCGAAAAAAGGCGTATTGCTGGATATATAGCTAGACCAAAGTGTATGAGAAAGTCAGCCCCTAGGATAGCAGTTTGTACATCAGCTATTAAAAATACCCAACGAAACGTGCGTCTAAGACCTAGGTTAAGCGTCGTGAAACGATGGCCATAAGTGAGGATTCGAGAACCGTTTGCCGCACGAAGTGTAAGAGCCGTGGTTGAGTGACGTTCCTTAGATGAAGATGGTAAGACGCTGAATTCAGCGCCAGTATCGACTAAGAAACGCTTGTGGGTCAGGTTATCTATAACGTGAAAGAGGCGACTTACGTTGTGGCCAAGAACAGTTGTCGCCGCTACTGTCTGGCCTTGTCTTTTCCCTGTTGACGATGGAAGTTACAGGGTTTGACACAATTGCGTGCCTTTGAGCCAAACTTTCGATGGTATCGGCAGATCCATGTAGACTCGTCACGGTTGTAGAATGAACGTGAACGTGT